CAGTGCAAGTCTAAGTATCATACACTTTCAACTTAGGATTTGTCTAATTATAGTACTTAGTGTTCACGCATTCGAAACTTGCGAGAACCACGCACGCCACCCAGGTTGTGCCTCCTCTGGATTGGATTATTTCGAGCAGAACTCACCGCTCTGAAGGCTGCTCAGCTCTGCCAGTTTCCCCTGCAGTTCGGTATTAAGACCAGGCTTCTTTCGTCATCGCGACCCACCACCACAAATATCGGCGGAGGGAGGAGGGGTACTACGTGCTCAAGAGAGGGGGATGGGGAGGGGGGGAAAATTGGTAGTACGGTGTTCTTGTAAAATGTGTTCGCCGCTGCAACGAAAGTTAAATTGCAAAAAGAAAATCGTTGCGTTACCAACACTGAAATCTGTAACTTTCCTCCATTCTTCATTTAAAAGTTAAAGTTTGTATTGAACATTAAATCCGTTCTGACAAATGCTTGTACCAAATTGACGTTTATGCTCTTCACCAATGGGCGGGATAAACAAAGAACTTCAAATTAATTATTTATTTTGCATGTTGTAGCGAATGCTGACGAACAAGAATTTATTTTAAATGATTTATTATTACATTTATTTTTATTCAAAATAATTTCTTCACGAAATTGAAAACGTTGTTTTTACAACAACCAAACACATTATAAATAATTTAATTCATGTAATTTTTTTTTCAAGCGAAGGTAGGAGCACTTTCAGAAGAAATAAAGGAGGGAGAATTCTCCTAAATTTAATCAATTATCGTCTCGTTTCCAGTTCATTAAATGTAAAAGTTTTTCAAGAGTTCTTAAGAATCAGGTAATTGTATTTCTTTGTCAATTTATTTTGTTACAAAAATATGAATAAGTCATATCCGATGAATTTGGCCACAGATATTTTGACAGAGTGATTTTAAAATACTTGGAAAAGACTCAGAATCTGGTTATATATTAAAATATATCTTATAGAAAAGGGACTTTTTTAATTTAAGAATACTTCACGTAGCCACAATGCTCATATCAAGCATTCTTGAGTTTATATTCTGTTTCATTTTGTAAAGATAATCTGCGAATAGTACAACTGGATACTAATGAAATGAGGTTAAACCTCTTTTCTGTTTGTAAGTACTTACATTTTTAAAACCTGTTGTTGACCACAATGGAATAGTAGAAATCTCATTTCAAAATAAAAATAGTTTCTTTATCAAATTGAAAATGTCACGTATCATTTTCTATTTCTTAGAATTGTGGAGACCATTATGGTGGCGCGCTCTGCTGCATCACCTTCTTTACAGGAACTAAAACACGAACTGCTGCCAACGATACTTTAAACGTGCGTGGCTGCTGCGTGAGTTCGCGGGTCGCAAGTAGGCCCATAATGTTACAAAATATAACGTCTATGTTTGCGCTTTCTTCAGAGGTTTCTTATAAGAATATATTATGAATAATTGAACATTTAGAAGACACTTTTCGTATTTCTCACAACTTAGCCAATTTGTAAGTGGGAAAGTTCGTGAGCCTAACCTGCAGCTGCACCCGGCGACACTAGCGCTTCCTACAGTAGCAACCTCGAGCTTTGTCCCCGGTTTTGATGGAGAGTTGCCGAGCCCTGCGGCGTCTGACGACCAACCCTCGGCACGGGATAGAAGAGTGCGCTGGGCTGCCGACTGGCGACCCCCGTTTATTTCGCCTCCAGCTGGATGGGGTTGCCGATAGCACTCCTCCGTCCCCGGCGGTCCGTGCTCCCACGAAGGGGAAAAGGGGAGGGGAGCGCCTCTCCCAGCTCCGCTGTCCCACCAAGCAGTGGCCAGCGACTGCGCGACCAGTTTTGCCCACAGTGTGCCCGAAAAACCACGACCATAACTGATTTCACAACATGAAATTAATCAATAGTTAAGTGCATTCTTTCAGAATGTCAATTTGGTGATGTAATCATCAGGTAATAAGTAGTTCTATCACGTGTACTTCGATCTAATTTTTCTTAAGCTTCTGTCTATGGGACTCTAACAGATGTATCGGTACGATGGCAAATGCATAAAATCGTAAAGCGGTGGCACTGCGTAAATTGTGTCTCATCGCTGTTTCATCGTCTCTTCAAAATTGCAGTGATCGATTTCAGGCTTTCAGTTTACGCAATTATAGTCCTTAAAGAAGGATAACCATATTTTATAAACAAGTATCTATCTGTATCTAATTCTAATAAGTAGCTTTTTTATGAGCTTCGATAATTTTATAACAAAATTTACTTACCTTGCAAAAAACACATTGATCTGCATCTCACAGCAAGAGGGAAGCTCTGCTAGCGTTCTGCATTTCGTGAGAACGTTCACTAGGCTCCAGATTCTGGCTGGGTTATTCCATGCAAAAAAGTAGATTTTCTGACATGACGCCTTCAACCTTGAAAATATTTTGGGATATTGATGCCCACGGTGCATATAGCTTCGAGGCACAACATTAAAATTTTCTATTTAATTGTTCGGCAACAATGAACTTATAAAATCTAAGACTACTTGTGAACACCTCTATATTCGGTAATTTTTTCTTTGCCATCTTATAACGTTTCTAAAATTTCTAAAAATGTGTGATAAAATATAAGATACGTAGTAAAAATATTCATTAAATATCACTTTTATATTGTAACGTTGTGGGTAGGGATCTACGCCACAAGGAAAACAGACACGAGTGAGTATATAAAAGTTTATTTACATAGATGTACATATACACAAAACCTCACTCTAAGGCGGTTTGTCAGAGCTACCACTGCAGCCTCCCTCTCCCTACATGCGCCTTACGGCGACGCGTGCGACAGGCCTGCTAGGCCTGCTAGGCCCCGGCAGATCGACAATCTGCCTGATAGTGTTCGAGGAACACGTCGCCTGGTCCGAACACATCGAACCACCATGTGCCATCGGCACTCCGCACCAGCCTGGGCGGACAGAGGTTTGTGGACTCGCCACGAGGAAACCAGAGTTGTTACCCACCTGCGCCATCGCAACTTATAAAGGGGCGAGTCACATGACCTCCCACGTCATTTCTCGCTCCTACGCGCTGCATACAGACATGTCCCTGGCGTTGTCTTTGCACGCGGCTCGTCTTTTCTGGGAATCCCAGTCTTTTGTTCGGGCGGCTACTTTTAGAACCCTCAACCCTCTACCTTGCGCTTCAGCGCTGAGCTGCTGCATAGCCGTGACGCTACAATATCATGCTATTCTCGGCATTCAAGAATAACTTTCGTAAAACGCAATTACTCGAAAGACAACCTTTTTAAATTTATTAAAATCTGCAATAATATTGCATTTAGGATGTTCCAGAAGCTATTCTATTTGTTTGATTATATGTTAAAAGGAACAAAAATTGCCATTAAAAATCTCCGCCGACAGCGGCGCATTTATACCTGTCCGGCGCTCGTCTCGACACACCCGGCATTTGCTCAACCTTTCCACGCGACCCGCGGATTGTCCGGAACCGTCCAATTCGGTGGGAAGGGGGGGGGGCACCGGCAGATGACGGAATCCGCGAGCAGCGAATGGTGATGCAATATTCGTTACAGTATCATACAAAGCAAAATTAAAAATTGGTTTCGGAATCATACGAAAAATTCATCAATATAATTTTTGTTCTTTACGCACAAAGAGTCTTTTTCATGAAAGTAAGTCGTTAATCATTGGTTGTGATTTCAAATTAGATCGAGATGAAGTAGTCATCTTTTATTTCCACTTCATTTCAACTTAAGGCAGATAAGATTACCTGTTCTCAAATGAAGATACTAGCCAAATATACTTTTTTACGCAAGAAATTAATTATCTTACTGTGTAAAAATGGTCTGCATATACATTTATTTATAAAAATGGTAAGTGTATATACATTTACTTTATTAAATACTTAGTTACGTAAGGCAACTATGCTCAATAAATCATATCATATTATCGGATTTCAAGTAATTTACAATGTTGCTTATCATACAACAGCATTTTTCACAGTCAAGAGCAGTGACGTATTACACCCATCTGAAACGTCTCTGGCGGGTTCGTCATATGTTCCCAACGGTTGCAGGGAAACAACCTGCTTGATTGTTTGAAGAGCTCTCTTCAATTTTACCTCTTCCTCGATAATCCTCTATTTTTCTGCTCTTAAACAATGTAGTTGAATCCGTAGAGATGGGATATTTTATGTTTAGGAGTCATACATTTAATAATTGGGATACATTAATCAGTCTCCATAGTTGTGGATTTTACTACACAATATGGAAATAAATACATAATTAATAGACTGTTTTGGCACACAAGGTCGCTCAATGTATACATGCAGTGATTGATTTATACACTTTTAGGTTTCGGAACGCGTTCCAAATTAATTACTACATTGATAGATCCAAATGCCGTACAATGTTTTTTTAAAGTCTAGTAATTTTCAAACCTAGTTAATAACGAAATCGGTCACAGAGTTGTTATCAGTGATGGTGTGCGACGTAATTGTAGCCTATTGTCGTGAAATAGTTAAATTGTGCAAATTTCTTAAAGTAGAGACTTCAAGCATTAATCTTATACAAATTAAATGTATTGTGGATCAAAACGTACGGAGCTATGGCTATTTGAAAAGAGACTAAGTTTGAAAAGTGGCTGCTTTTAACATAAAATTGGCCATACTCGGGTTACTTTGGCACTGAGTCAAATAACTGTTTGATCATCAAATTGTTGCGGGGTAACGTAAGCACCACTTCAGCCAAAAATCTGTTGATACAAGTAACAATTAATAATACTTCGTTATTTTCATAAAAGTAGCGAAAAAAGACCCAAAAATGGGTGTTTATGGGGTTTGTGGCACCTCTAAACACATTTTAAAAACAATTTTATTGCTGCCGATGTTGTTCTTGCACCGAAAACTAACTTTTTTCACCAAGCCATTGATTTCTACTTTTTTTATACAGCCTTATATACAGGTGAATCGCAACTTAAGCACCTCCTATAACTTTTGAATGGTTGAAGTTATTGCAACGAAGTTTGCATGGAAGTGTATGAAGGAATGGGTCTAATTGATATGTGTATTCAATGCTATCTATTCTGTTCTAATTACTTGTATTTTGCGAGATATTTGAGGTGACTTTGTGTTTTTCAAATGGAATTATATATATTTTGTCAGTCTATGGCGTATGCTAGAGAAGCATTTTTTTAATAACTTTTATTTCTTTTGCAGCTAGTGTTTAACGGATATTTTGAATGTAATAGTTCGCCACACAGGGTCACACAACCCTCCCCCTGCTAGCGCGCGATCGGGGAAGGGAAGAGATATTAGTATTTGAAGAAATGAAACATTTTCCCAATACTCACAAAACTATTGTAGTTTTTTTTTCTGAAATCTGCTTTCCATCCTTCCGCATTTTCGCGTTTTTTTTTACTTAAGAATTAAAAATACGAATTTGTCATAAGAAGTATTATTGAAATATAATTATTTCAACTTCATTTAAAGGGGTGCTATACCAGAGTATACTCATGGAATCTTGAAACTAAACACAATAAGAAGAAATTATTAAGATTGTACAAAGAATATTGCGTATTAAATATTGTGACGTCGTGGATACTCACAGCGACCACAGACACAGAACTTTCGTATAACAATATCTTTATTAACAAAGAAAACAAAACAAATATATACACTTAATATCTTACTTACACCCTAGCTCTGATAGACCTACTATACCCTGATCGCGGGAGCGATCCAAACCCGATTGAAGATGGTTTTGATTGTGGCATTCGCCACTCCTACTTTTGAAGCGCGCACAAAGCCTAGCTTCCGTGACCGGATGTCACGCTGGGACACAAAGTCGTTCTGGCGCACCAACGGCTGGTTTGCCTCGATCGCAGGAGCGATCTTATCCGATTGAGAATCGGCGTGAATCGTGGCACTCAACCACTCTTCACCTCGGAGCACGCACACAGCATTGCTCCCCCGTGACCGCAGTCACCCAAGGACATAAAGTCCGCAGGCTTCGTCAACTAGTGACTCCAGCCTCGCGAGCCTGGCTCGCATATGCACCGTCGTGGCGTCATGTTTTGTGCACACGCACGAGGTTCTCCCACTGTCTCCAGAACCCACCCACTGGCTCCGTACACTCTGTTATATAGGCGAGGCCCACGTGACCTTCTACGTCACGCCACCCCCTCGCTTGTTATAACAGTGAAAAGCTTCTATAAGCCGGAAGACACCCAAAGCCTTGTGTCTCCCGTTTCCGCGTTCTTCCCTTTACGGAAAAACCCTTCTTTCTGTGGCGAGACTAATCCGCAACCAAGCGTCCCCAAATAGATGCCATGAGGCACGCTGGCTAATACGTTACAATATATACGTCCGCCCGACACAAAATTTGAGAACGTACTGTCTTACTTCGTGTGAGTCCATGGGACGTTTCGCGTGGGCGATAAATACTCCTGTGAAGGATCCTTGGGGACCGTGGCCCACACCTCGTCTTTCATTTTCTTCAGAAATATCTTTCATTTTTAATTTTTTCCAGGTTGTGTCAAAAACCTGATGTGATAAAGTATAATGGACACCGAATTGGGACACCCCAAAAAGTTATAGAAAATATGGTCTGATCCCCAGACACGAACACAATTTTTCGTGTGGGTGTGTAATCATAGGAAACGTGAAAGGAAATATTAAGGATGGGCTTTGAGGATTGCAAAGAAAATAGACGCTTTAAAGCATGTATTTTTTTAATATTTTATATTACGAATTTACAGTATTGTATTAAAAATTATATCTCAACGACAATTACTCGCTCTATTTAATTTGTTTTCTTCCACAAATCTTTTCCTCTAATTTAAAGTAACACAATTTTTCTCCTTGACTTGTACTTATGAGTTCAAACGTTTTCTGTTTCTTTTAGAACAATAAAAGCTCTAACTATGAATTGAGTTTAACATAACACTGATGGCTTGTGATGCGCGTAATTTGAGAAAATGAGTAGGGTTCTTCATTACAACGCATCACAATGATTCTCACACAAACATTAAATAAAACTTTCGTAAGAATCTAAAGTTTAATGAATGAGCATTTACGTAAATAATAATAAGAGATAATATGTTTATACCCATGTTCGCAGATTTTCTCAAGTAGCTGGTGTTTAGGTATGACTTAAACAGATTTTTAGGCATAAATTAAAACTAACCTGAAAAATTAAATCAGTATATTCCCAGTAACAATAATTGTAGTATTTCATAAAATTTCACTGTGTGGAATTACGTACTTTTAGAAATACTACAATGTATTGCACTCTGAAGAAGGAAAATACTTGGTATAAAAAGGTCACCGAATGAAAAGTAGTCATATGAGAATTGGAAATTCAGTATAAATGGTTTTCCTTTTCCCAAAATTAATTTTCTTCTGGCGTGGGCTGAGAACCAGAAGTGGGACCCGGGCTATCAAAAATCTCATTTTTATCCAAAACTGCCGTTGCATTGGGCTCTACCCCTATATCCTCACCAATATCACAAAACAAATGATTTCGTCTCAAAATACCGTGACCTTCTGAACATATGAGCACGCAACAGTCTGAAATTCTCCAAATGACATTGTCAGTCAAGATACCCTTGGCACTGGGGAAAATGCGAACGCCATAGCTTCTGTTATCACATATTCTATTGCCATGCAAAGTAGTAGACGAATAGTCCGAAATATCCACACCAGCCTCGGCATTGTCAAATATCTCATTGGCTTCTAAATATCCCTCACCGCGATTGATTATTAAAACTCCTCCTTTTCCACCACCCCATATTTTGTTTCTACGAACAAATGGGTTACTGCCAGATGATACCATCAAATTATAGTCTGAATTGTTGAAAATTGAATTATCTTCTAAATCGCCGTGTCCTCGGTGGCTGAAAGAGACTCCAACACTTCCCGAATATATCCGATTACGTCTCAAGCACGCCCTGCTACCATTTGTAATCGTTATACCGGCTCTTGCATTAGAGGCAATTTCATTTTCCTCAACCACACCTAGACTTTTGTTCCCGATATAGATCCCCAATCCTTTCCCACGAAGAATCTTATTCTTCCTAATAATCGGGTTGCTGTGATATATTTGAATCCCTGCCAAAGAGGAGCCAATAATTTCATTATCTTCAATTACACCCCTTCCACCTTCAACAATATACACACCAGTTTGACTGTTTTTTATTTTATTGCGTGTGATCGTTGGGTCACTACCTGTTGAAATGTAAATGACAGGAGAAGCCTTCGAATATAGTATGTTATCTGTAAATAAACCATAAGCTTCTTGATGGATGTAGACGCAGCTCGCCCCCCCAGACAGCATGCTATTTACCACAATAGGGGAAGCTCCGCTCATTACTTCAAAAGCAGTCACAGAAATTTTGTATACTTCCACTTCCTCGAACACCCCCTTTGCTCTGCCAGACACTTTAATACCTATCTCTTCTCCATTATGGACGGCATTTCGGCGAAACGTTGGGTTTGCCCTGTCATTTACCCAAATGCATGTCAACCGAGTGCAGCAAATTTCGTTATTTATGTACGTTCCTTCGGCCCACTTTTGAACGCACAGGCCCAAGCATTTAGAGTTCACGATGCAGCAATTTTTTATTGTAGGATTCGCACTTCGTCCGCTAACATGAACACCTGACCCATGCCAATTGGAATTCTGGATGATGCAACTGTCCACGGTGGGGCTACAACATTTAAACACATCTAGGCAGGAATACTCGTGATGTTCAAACTCGGAACCCGGTGCGGGCGTTAAGGTTAGTGTCAAGTGCCCAACATACGTCTCATATGCGCCCTTCTTAATTGTTAGAGTACTTGCACATTTGCCCTCTAACACTACAGACGTATTCACTTCTTTCGCAGCAGCGCCAATAAGGGCCACATTGAAATCGATTAAGATCTCCTCCTGGTAGGAACCAGCATGTACGAAGATCAGAGCATCGCGACCAGACGCTTCGGTGTCAGCAACGCGCTCTTTTGCGAAGGCCAGTGCGCTCGAGATGGTGTCGAAATACGTCACTCTCCGGCCACGAAGTTCCCTTCCTTCGAAGGAGGGCCGCACGTGGACCCCGTGGTACAGCTGCCGGAAGCTCTCCTTCCAGGGGTTGGCGTCGCCGCCCTCCGGGTCGTGGAATTCGAAGGCGCAGGGCTGCGGGTGGAGCAGCGGGCGGTCGTATTGGAAGACCTGCTTGTACAGCCGCCGCCACAGATCCGGGTCGTCCGCGAGCTCCCGCAACCGCCAGCACACTTGCGCCACGCGACACAGGTCCTGCTCCAGGAGCAAAAGGAAGATGGGGCGCAGGACGTCCTCCGGGAGGTCGTACAGGCGCAAGTCGCAGGGAATGCCGGGGGCGCAGGGGACATTAGCGCCGGAGGAGCTGCGGGCGCCGCTGGAGGTGGAGGGCGGGCAGCCCGCTTGGCCAGGGGCGGCGGTGTGGGCGGCGTTTGCGGCGTTTGCGGCGTTTGCGGCGTTTGCGGCGTTTGCGGCGTTTGCGGCGTTTGCGGCGTGGGCGGCGTGGGCGCCGGCCTGCTCATCCCGCGTAGTCCCCATGCGAGCTTCCTTAGGGGTTAAGGTCCCGCTGTCGCTGTCCACCGACCCCACCCTCTTCATGGCTGCTCGCGCTGCCGGCTCGATCTGGATCTGCGCACCACACCACACACTCCGTTACACGACGTCGGTGAGGAACTGATTTGCCGAGGGTTTGCAGTACCGGCAGCGTGTAAGGGACTCTGACAGTTCAATGCGTTGTTATCACTCATGACTACGCAGATGTCACCATCTACATCATAGTTAAAGTAAATCTCAACACATTAACACTTACTGACAAGCTACGACACGTCTTGATATCACGTTCATAACTTTCGCCAAAGCCAAACCTAATCGTCTCAGCGACTTCGTGTGAATCTAATGAGCGGCAACGCTGAACCCTGGCTGTGAGAAAGTAAATAAATCCTCGCAAGCTGAGTGTTTCAGAGGTGGTCACATGACTTACCACAGCACGAAGGGAGAGAACTGTTCAGAGTCGCTTATACGCCCAGTACAGTAGTGAACCCATTCAGCAATAAAGATGTAATGTAAAAGTAAATTGGTATTTTATGGCTAAGCTATTCGTCGGAAATGAAAAACATTCAAGATCGTTTGAGTTTGTCTTGGCTTTAATATACAGGTAGCATTCATCCTCGTTCGTAATACGCCAGACACTTTTCCTAATGTAATGTACAGTTTGAGAATTATCGTTAACTTGAGAAGTATGTGCGGTCCTCGTCTCCCACGGGCTAGGGCAAGTGAGTGGTCAGCTTCTTCTTGCGTTATGCCTCGACGCTTCTGTGGCCATAGTGTTGCTCTGCGCTTTCAGTATTTCTCGGACTGTCTAAATGGCGAAATTTGCAAATGTCAACACGGAGGAATGATTTTTGTCCATGGTTTTCGCAATGGAAATGTGTGAATGGCTAGTCAAGAATTCTAGTCTGTACAGGGTGAGAAGACAACCGGAAGCAAGTGAATTTGCATGGTTTAAGAGATGCGTTTTTACATTCACTTATCTGCACATGACTTTAATTTACAAAATTAAAGTCATGCGCAGATAAGTGACTGTAAAAACGCCGAAATATATTTCACAAATTTGGCCTTTAGGATTTGTGTGTAAAAAACTGCGAATTTTCGGCAAAAAAAACAACCTCTTATTAAAGCCTCGATACGAAAAATGAGTAAATCCAGTATCTAAATTTACAAAAAAACCTATATCACTTGGTGTAGCCAGAATCTATGTTTTCTGGGTACGTGATACCGAAAAATGGAATGATAGCAAAACGTCTGTCTATCCGTCCTTCCGTCTGCGAACAACGCTAGTGGCTAAACCGTCCAGCCGATTTTCTCCAAAATTGGTATTCCGCAATCTATGTGGTTGATGTCACGGCCCCTGGAATTTGAAATCGATATTTTAATTTATGGGGGTACTTTACATAAGGCCCTTGTAACATTTTCCAAATTTTCAAAACAAAAAAGCTCAATCTCAATCTTTTCTGATTAAATTTTGTTGGTGGATAGTGTTTAAGACGTTTAAGAAAATGGTGAAGGTCTCATGTTGAATTGAATTGAATTGAATTGAATTGAATTTGCCTTATTTTACGTGGCGAGACTCGGGCCATCAGGCCCGCTCTTCCGTCTGACCACGCAATTTCGCTACGCTCCTTTCACCAACTAGGAGAGAAAGGAGGTATTTCTTGGGCGAGAAACAGGCGATTTGAATTTAGCTCAGAGGCGTCATTTAGGCTTGAGGATCTTTTACATGCAAGTAAATCTACGAACATGGGACAGCCGGCTTTACTTCCCCTCCGAAGGAAGGCGTACGAAGGATTTTTTCGCCCTTAAAAATCCACGGCTTCGATCGGGTTTGAACCCGCCAACTTGGGTACAACAGTCCGGTACGCTAACCGTTGCACCATCGCCGCCGCAATTCGTCAATTTTTTTTTAAATCGTGAAAATTCAATTTTCAAGTTTTCCTACAATTAAAATATTAAATATAAGAGAGTTTTCCCTTCGTGAAATCTGTTCCTTAACGATAGTTTTTTAAATAAGGTCATGTACAATTTTTTAGAAACTTTCAGTACTTTTCGCGTAATTTTGCGTGAAAATACGGGCGAGAAAGTACATGCTGTATTATCACAACTAGGTTTCATATGCTCTTTTTATAAAGATTGCATAAAAATCGAGAATGACACACCATAACATAAAAATGTACATAGCAATTAACACAAGCACAAGTTTACATATGGTCATACATGTTTATTTCTTTTAAAAACTCCATTAATTTAATAAATTCAATCTTGTCATCCAGTTACTATTTAATATCATTATACATAACATAATTTCTTCTCAGCTGATAACATTTTGGGCAGTGTGTAAGAATATTTGATACAGTTAACATTAGTTTACAATAGTTACATACTTTGGGATAATCTTTGATTAGCAAATATTTCTGAGTTAATTTTGAATGGCCAATTCATAAACAAGTGAGAATGCTTTGTTCATTTCTATTTTTAAGGAAATGCTCATAGCACTCTAGGATTGAATTTCTTATTTCAAATAGCTTGATTGAAGGTGATTAAATCCAATCTTCATTCCACAATTTTCTATTTCTATGGTGAAGCTCTTCTTTGAAGTTTGTATGGAATACTGAGTGTTCTTGGAGTTAATGGCTCCTCTAGCAGCATTATCAGTTTCCTTTGATGCTGATAGTAGATGGAATCCAAACAATAATTACTTCTTTCTCTTTTGGATTTAGATCATAGTATAAATTTACTATTTCTTTCATTATCAGTTCTTGTTCTCAAGACTTCAATTATACTTTGCAAGTATGTATGTATGTATTATAAATTTATTATTGGTTAATAAAGATATATTCTTTAAAGCTTTCAGTAAAGCATAAGCTTCACAATAAAATATAGAAGAAATATTGTTAAGTTTAATATATTCAGTAATATTATTAATCATTAAAGAGAAACCTGACTCTTTTTTTGTTCTTGAACCATCTGTTAAGACACTCACATATTCTCATGCTTGTTTTTAATTTCATTGTAGAGAGCTTGATATATTTGTGGATTTCTATCTTTCTTGGAGTGTATACATACATCTTTATTAATTTTTATTTTTGATGTTATTCCAGGAGGTCTTTTCAAAATTATATTTTGTATAATTAAAGGAAACACTGTTGGTATCTCTCTGAAAAATTGACTTAGTAGGTGGTAGGCAGATTGAGTGGTTCTTGAATTCTTGGAGTATTTTCCACTGTTCCTCGAGGAAAATACATTCTTCAATGATGGGTTGAGTGAGGATTGTGATATATTGTATGCATATATGCAGCACACTTTCCTTCTTCTGATGGTACAGTGGTTCTTCATTAGCTTCTGCAGGAATGCTTGAGATTGGACTGGTTCTATAAGCACAAATTGATAGACTTAAACAAGTCAATTGAATTGTATTGAGACTATTTAAAATTGTTGTTTTGACAGATTGATTTATAATATCCATAGTCAATCTTGGACTATATGAGAGCTTTGTAGGAAGACAGTATTATTTTATGTCAGCTCCCTAATTACAGGTTGTAATACACTTTATGGTATTCACAAGTGAAAACTTACCATTTTTAATTTATGCATGTGTAGTTTCCATGTTAACTGCCTTAAATCATTCCCAAAATTTGATTTGAGCTTTTGACTATCTGTGATCCCAATGTAAATTTAAGTTGATTATTGAGCATATCTCTTTTTCTAAAAGTATACACTGAGTCTTCATTTTTGAGAACTTGAATTCTGATTTATCAGCTCATTCTTTAATATTATTTAGGATATTTTGTAGAATTTTTTTGAGAGGAATGGATATTTCTTCCACTTATTAATATTGTGTCATCAGCAAAGAAATATATCTTTATTGGTTGAAGAATTAGATTCTTAATTTCATCTATAGTTACGTGGAAGAGAAAAACACCTAGTACAGACCTTTGAGGGAGGCCATTGCATGTTTTATATCAGTCAGATATACAATAAACCTTAAAGAAACTAAACAGATATAATAAACTTTAATATATCTACCTTCCATTAAGTTGGAAATAAGGATTAATGTATGTGCATCTATTCCTAATGTCGAGGATTCTGTTTTCCCATCAAATGCCACAAGCCTTCTTGATGTACAGACTTACAGCAGTAACACATAGTTTTGAAATGAATGTGTCACATATCATTGGGAATGTTGACTAAGTGGCTAGTATAGTGAAGCAATGTTTCCTGAATCCTCTTCGATAAGGTGATAGTAATTCTTTCTTCAAGATACCAGATTAAAATTTTGGTGATAGCTTTCTCAATCAATTTGCAAAGGGTAGATGTTACGAATATGAGTATGAATATTTATGGACTGGTGTGATCTATCTCTGGCTTCGGGATAGGAATAACAACAGTTTCTTTACACTTATGAGGAAATATGCCTTAAGTCAAAAGTTCATTGAATGTCTTACATACACAACGGCCATTGGAGGGAATTCTTTCAAAAATTTGTTGTGGATGTCATCTGGTCCTGGGCTGGAATTCCTAGTATGAGTTAAATTGTTCATGTTTTCATGATTTTTTAAAGGAACATTTAATATTATATTATTTTATGTGTTTTCTTGTAGTATATTTTGAATTTCAAAATTTACCTTGTATGTTTGATATTCATCACCAAACTTTTTATCACTTGAATTATTGGCAAATTGATTTGCTAAGACATTGGATATTTCTTTGTTACATGTTTGTCATAATTAATTATTGTCATATGATTAGTGGATGACTAGTTAGTACCATTTATTGGCTTGCTTTATCAAATTTCCATTAAGGGCTATAATATATATTGTCTGTTGTTAAGTAATTTTTATTCTGATAATTATGATTGGGAAATGATCGCTTTCATAAAGGTCATCCACAGTTAACCACCTCCAGCAATGAGCAATTGATTATGAGCATATGGTTAAATCAATAGCACTGAAAGTTCTAAATGTATTGTTAAGGTAGGTAGGAAGATGTGATTATTGTGATTATTGTGATTATTGTGATTATTGTGATTATTGTGATTATTGTGATTATTGTGATTATTGCAATTGTCGCAATTATTGCGATATTGCGTATTGTGATTACTGTGATGATTGTGATTATTATAATTATTATGATTATGTAATACCACTCAATTTGTATCATCTAAATTTTTTAATATTATTTTCCCTCTTTTGTCTTCTTTATTTGATCCCCAAATGTAACTGTGATTATTGAAATCACCTAAGAGATGAAGTGGACTTGGAAGTTGGGACTTGGACTTCATTAATTAACTGTGGCAAATCACCAGCATTAAAGTCACAGCTGCTGTGTAAATAAATACTGCAGTGTCTGAGATATTTATTTGCTAGGCAAATTTTGACTGCAATGAAGTTAAGGGTTGAGTCGATGGTAATCTCTTGTATTATGAAAGATTTTTTACTACAAACAGCTAAACCTCCCCTTGCTATTTCTACATTGGTTCTATTTTTGAGTGCAAGTTATAATTTTTAAAATTGTGTTTATGTCCTTTTTTGTAACTTGTTTCTTGTAGACAAATCACATCTTGGTGTGTATTCATTAATTGATATTGATAATTCTCCTTTTGTGGTCAGTAGACATTAATATTCCATTGCATGACGCAGTCAACCATTACTTAGATTAATTAATGTAGCTCATCTTCACTGACTTCGCTTTAATTTCCAGTATCTGAAAATTCTTCAGTGATGTTTTTACAACTTCGCTTTTAGATTATTGAATATTCTTTTTATATATTTATCTTACAGTTTATGATATGTTTCTTCTAACATATTAATAAGTGGTTTAACATCTGGTGTACATTCTAAAACAGTTTAGATATATTTTGGATAATTTTTTAATTTTTCAAACAGAAATTTTATTTGATGTAAGATTACGGGGTATTTACTTTTTGGTTCTAAAAGTAAGTCACTAAAAGTCCATATCATTGGTTTTAGTTATTTTTTAGATCATTAGATGTACACATATTGATATTGATGGTGCAGAAAGATGGCGTTTGGGATTATTTATTGTCTCATTGCTAGACTTAATATTTTAATTTTGAGTGGAATCCAGTGCTGGGAAATCCAATGCTGGGAATGTTTGCTGACGGAGAGAAATTTTCATCAGCACCATCTGCTGAAATTGTATTTATCAGGACAGTTGTTTTGCTACATGACCATGTTCTTGGCATATGAAACAAGTAATAAGTAATTTCAGCTGACGGGAATACCCAAAAAACCTTATTTTCATATTTGATTTTCAATATCTCTGGTATCCGTTTTACATCATTGAGATGCACATAAGGGATACTAGAGAACATAGACTCCCACAGGCTATACACTAGCAAGTCTTCAACTAACAAAGATCCTTTCTGCATTGCTGTACAGATCTTTAATAAACTCCCAGTTAAAATAAAAACTGCTGATGATAAATACTTCGTAACTCTGCTTAAACATCATCTTATTAGTGCGTGTCCGTACAAGATATCTGAATTGCTTTAACTATCTTTAATTAAAAACCCTGTACTGCTACAAGAGTGACCACTCTTTGTACCTGTCTTCATTCAGTACAATAAGGCAATGTAGTATTCCGTAATTTAGTAAATAATGTAATTATATGTCAATATATTGTAATTAATGTAATTATGAAAATTAATTGTACACCTAATGTATTAAAGTTATTGTAAGTTAATCAAACTGCTACTGTAAGATAAAGGAATTTACTTTAATTGTAAGCTATTTGCCACTATCATCATCTACTAGGTTATTGTTAATGTTATTTGTTAATGAGATACTGTGGAGTTTAAAATGTAATTTATCTTAATATTTATTATGAGCAATTGCATTATTATTTATGTAATTCATTGAGTAAACAATTTGCATTATTACTGTAAGTTATGTAATCGAATGTAATTCATTATAAGTAAAATTAATGTGATTCTATATATATTAATCAATTAGGTGAATTTTTATCATGTAATTTAGAAAGATAATGTAAACGTATCATATTATATAATTATAATTATTGTAACTATAATAATTATTATAATTATTATTATAATTATTATAATAATTATTATTATAATTATTATAATAATTATTATTATAATTAT